CCCCCCCCCATCGTTCCTCCTCTCCAGGCAGACCCTTCCCTCCTGCACCTCAGTCTGCTTTCCGGGACTTCAGGCATCAACCTTGTCCAGCTGGCCCGGTCGGCATTTCCCTGAAACCACGTCAGACGGGTTCATGTGCCGATGCTCCGGCACTTGGCTTCAGTGGAGAAGGAACGAGGTATCTCGACAGAAGAGTTCTGACACCACTTTCAGAATGTTGCCATCCCAGGAAAAGGTTCTTGTTGGCCCAAGTCCTGGCCTGACGACAGCCTACTCCTTCCTGCTAGTGAGCACCCTGCCTGTTCCCTCGGCACGTCAGCCTTGTCCAGACTTAGCCCCTCTCCTCTAGCCACCTCTCCAAGGACGAGACTGGCTGTGTCCCAGGCTTCTCTCAGGCAGGCAGTGTCTTCCTGCTAAGCAGCTTAGTGGCAGCTGTCCTCCAAATGTCCCAGTGCATGGTCACTCGCACACCCCGATGTGTGCAAACACCAGCCATGAGCAGTGCACCTTCCCAGATGCTGTCTCCGTGCTCAGGCCCAACCCAGCCACGACCCAGTCCTAGGTTGGTCTGAGGTGCAGTGAGCACAGAGCATTCCAGAGGCGTCTCTGAAGTTGGCTTTCTTCCCAAGCAGGACTTAAATAGAACCTGTCTACTGGGTGATGCCAGGTCAGGGCTTCTGGGCAGGTGCACCCTGACTGCAGAGGCCTCACCCTGCGTAGAAGGGGCAGGCTTCCCTCTAGCCCCGGAGGTAACTGAGGCAGAGTGATTTCAAGCCTCCTGGCCCCAGGCACCACGCTGGCCGAGGATCCCTCAGCAAGGACTAGGCCTTGGGCCAGACGTGAATGTTTGGGGAAGGCAGTGTGACCCCACAGTGCCACTTCTAGGATGATGTTCGCTAACAAGCTCATCCAGTGGGGCGCAGGGCGTGCTGTGTGCATGGTGACAGCAAGGACACATATCTGCCCACCTGCGGGCTCCCAGGAGCTGCTAGTCAGGCAGTCGGAGCACAATGTAATGCCCGCTGAGCAAGAAAAAATTTCAAAACGGTGCATGGTGCAGGCCACCGCCTGTGAGTGTAACTGCATGATTGCATTCACGCATCTCTGGGGAGGGCACCATTGCTTTGCCTTCCACATTTCTGTATTGGGTCTTTCGCAATCATTAGATACTACTAAAAACAGCCAAGTTAACACATTAAGAACAAATATAGAAATAAGAGCATGAGGAGAGCTCTAAAGAATATTTATTTAGAAAAGAAAAATCAGCTTTGACAAAAGGTACTTCCACATGTGCATAGCCACTCGGACTTGAATTCCAGCAAACATCGAGTCCTGTCTCAGCGACTGACTCATACCTGCCTGCACGCTGGGCCTTGGCCGCCTGTGTACGGTAGTGACTGACACCCAGGCACTGCAGATGCTGGGGAGCGGCAGCCTCGGAGCCCCTCCTGAGATACTGTCTGTCGAGAACCTGCCTTTTCCAGCCCCGAGATCAATTTGAAACCCCTGCAAGGAACTGATGTGGAACTTAAAGGTAACTTTTGGTTTCCTTACTGTTTTTTGGAAGCACTTGCCTGCATTCGTCAAGTATTTGGAAGCTACCACACTGTGTCACCTGACAGTCATTTTGGTGACTAGATTCAAAATACAGGTGCAGCAAAGTTGCTGCAGAAATGCTCTGCCAGCGTTTACGTTACATCGTTCTGGTCCTGCAGACGAGTTTTCAACCATGTACGATGCCTGTTCTTTCACTTTTTCCTAGATCTGACCCATTCTTCAGGCAGAAATGAACATTGAAAACAACCTACTACCTGAAACTAATACAATGTCAACTGTATTTGCAAAAAATTAAAATTAAAAAAAATTTTTTAAACCTACCAAACTTGAAAAGGTGGTCTGTAAACAAGATGCCGTGCTTGGTTGATTTATTAGAAGCCAAACAGAAGAGCATACCTAGCGGTGTGCCCAGGCCAGGCTGTGCTGTGCCTGCAGCACCCGGATGGCTTGGAGGCCAGCCGACCAGTCACACCGACACTGTGCCTAGGGGCTCGGAGCCACTTCTGGGGTTCACGGGTCTTACACCACAGCTCCTTCACTGTGTTCACTAGTCTCCCCATGAGGTCCGGAAATCCATCAGACAGCTGACAGAAACGTGGCCACTGTACATAGTTGTAGCTTGTTTGTTGCAATGCTGTCCTCAACACAATAAAAAAGGTAGAAAGCACTCTTCGATGTTTCTGGTAATCAAGGACCCTTCTGTGGGGCATTTGTTTTGTTTTCATGATAAAAGCCAAAAAAAAAACCCAACAACACCAAAAAGGTGCCCATGTGTGCCTTTTCCTGCGTGGTGCGTGGGCCCCGGTTTTCACACTGCAATCACATAACTGTACAAACCTTGGACTGGCCCGTGTCCCGGGAGACCTCAAGCTTGTTTCTGTCTCGGACTAGGATGGCCTCGTTCCCGTACTGTGAGTACCACATGCTTCGGCTCCTGCTCAGGTAGGTCCTGGGCGGCACAGATTCCAACTGCTGCTGCTGCTGCTGCCAGATGAGCAGGGAGGTGTCCCTGTACCGCTGCCGGGCATAGCCTTCAGACAGGGCTTTCTCTGCCAGCGGGACGCGACCGCTCATCCCTGGCCCGAGCCCCTGTCCTGGGCTCCTGAGCTCCTGAGCCTGCGGCCTCTCTGGGACAGTCCTGACTGCTCTGTGCTGAACGCTACGATGAACACGTTTTCAGCTGTTGCGTCTGAGGGTTCCTTATTTAACTTAATGGTAGAGAGGAAGGTTCAGTCCATGGGTGCGCGGCACCCTGAGGAGGGTAGTGTTGCAGGGAGACCTGAGAGGAGCCTCTGAGCATTCTGAAGACACCCCGGAACCTCCCGTGAGATGGCAAACAGGTAAATGTGGCTCCCTGTGCACAGCTGTGTGCCCTTTATCAGGTGTGTTGACCTGGATGAGGCACCTAGCTCAGCAGGGAGCCTTGTCAGGTGTCTGGTGCGATTCTGACACCACAGTTGGGACTGCTTAACTTGAAAAGACGTATCCACTGAAAGGACATTGTACCGCTGGACACGTTGATGGCCGCGCCCAGGATCGGCCTGTCCCGGATCGGAGCTCGGGCGGCTCAGGGTGCGCAGCAGGGCGATCTGGGACTGACTCGTCCGGGGCCTGGAGCCAGCTTTTGCTCAGCGCTTTTTGTCGGGCTCGTCCGCAGCTCTTCCCCACCGTGGTGCTCTAAGAAGCGAACACACTGCCAGTTGTGGGGAGCCAAGGGCTCGGGTGGCAATGGCAGGTTTTATGATACAGAATCTTAACTCTGGATCAGCGTGAAACCAAGCAAGCTGCCAACGGGTCTCAGTCCTGCAGTCACTCTCGGGGAGATCCAGGCCCAGCCGAGGCCCAGTTCTTTTTATTAACT